AATGATGGTACGTATATATAGAAGTGTGCCCCAAACATGGGTGGATGATCAAAAGTAACCTTAATTGCCGGAAATTAAGATTAAATTGAATTAAAAGAAAGTAAAAAATGATAAATTTGCCCCTTCCTAACAAGTTGTGGAATTCCAAAGCAGTCGTTGTATTGCCCAAGGACTTGCGTGTTCTTGCATGGCTGATCCGGGGTCGTTCTTATGCCCGGATGATCGTAAGATAATTGTTTTCTTATAGGGCTCGGTATGGTGATCAATTTGATACTAACTTCAAGCCATGGATCGTGTTTTTGATGCACGATCATGTGACTTGAATTTTAAGTAGATATTGAAACTTCGAATCGATAGTGTGTTCGTTCCTTGATGTTTTTCTGTGTTTTCTTTGCTGAATCACACTGAGCATGCCACTACGATTACGGGGCACAAAAAATAGCTCGACTCCGTGGCTAAACGAAGATTTTGCATGTTTAGAATTTTGGCTAGAATTAAGGATTCTGGCAACAGAATTTACAATCTGTTCGTCGGCTTCGTGTGCAGAATCCGACTGTTCTTCATGTACGGGGTTCGGGTCAAAGATGGCCCAAGACATTACGCCCACAATCGGGCTCATGAGCGGTGTGATTTGGCCACTCAAGCGAGGTAGGACGCTGTTGAATTTCCTGCACTTTCTTCACGAATCAGCAATTTCTCTCTACCTTTTCTTCATGCTCGGGTATCGTCATAGGGGGTGCCACATAACGAATCGCTCGTCTTGACTAGACGAACATGCTTGTCAAATTTGAGCTCAATCCGATGTGAGACGACCGAGATATGAGTGTTGAAAGTCACTGGTCGTGACTGTCCCTTTAATGGTGTTGTTTTGCGGGTGGCCACACAGGAATAGAGTGCAGCTCCTCCTGTTTTACTCTTTCGCCTATAATAACTTCTTGGAGTGTCTGTTTGGGCTTAAACTTGACCCTTGGAGGTTTTAAACCGTGCTGGATCCAATGGTTGTCGTCCCACAGCAGTTTGGGTCGCTAAAAATGTAGCTCTAGTTATAGGGGTTCGTTTTAGGATACTAGAGGCGATTCTGTTGGAACTGTTTCTCAGTCTGCACTGTCTTAGACATTTCGGAATGCCACAAAAATTGGCAAGAGACTTTTGAGAGACTTCATAAAGATCTTGGCCAGTTCTAGGGCTGTTCTGAGACTGTCGAAATTTCCAGTACTTGCTAAGCCTTTATTGAGCAGGGGCCTCATGTTGATGAAAAATACCTTCCAACACACAGTTCATATCAAATGGAACTACATTCTCAACTCAGTTACAATAAATTTTATCCCTCAAATTGGATGTGTGGGAAGACAACCAGTTTGATCCACACCCTGTCAATATAAAATGCTGTCATTTTGGAACTCTAATAGCTAGCTGGTTTTCCATCTTTGTGTTTCCAATAGCCCAGAACTAGTTGCATAGTGGGTGAATGAAATATACAACTTCTATTTTATTTAGGGTCCTTGTAAAGTGAGCAAATGCTTTATTTTTTAATGAAGTATTTGATTACAAAAAGTATTTGAGCGCAAATGCTCTATTTCAAAGAGAGATGCTATTTATTATGGATGTTGGATGACTGTTGCACGAGATTTGCAATCTGTTTTTATGCGAACCTTCGTTTTGCAAACTTGATCGACAAAAGGGAGATTTGGATGTCTACTTGAAATTTCAAGTTTTTTTTTTTTTTTTTTTGGTTTTTCAGGAGCCAGAAAGATGAATGTATGTTTGTTGAGTGCCATTGATGTGCTTCGAGGGTATTTGGATAAGAGGTAACCCATGTAAATCAATCACCCATGTTTTATTTTTGTTTTTAGTCTAATTTTTCTCAAGCTAGAATGATGCATGTCTATTTACTTGTTAAGTGCCTTTGATGTACTTTAAGAGTTTTGAATTTTTCCTCCTAGAGATATCCATGCAAATCAATCACCCACGTTTCAAGGGTAAAGGAGCAATGAGTGTAGCAGTGTCTAATGTTTTGGCGTTCCAAAGTATGCCAGCCTCCAAATAGGCCTCTATCCAAACCTTAATCAAATAACATTGTGGCCTGAAGAAGTAGATACATTTTGGTATAGATAGTAGTTTCACATAAAAAGGCTTATGTTTCTATGAGATGATAAACTCTGCCCAAAATTCCCCTTCAAGATTTGGAACCATGATAATTGGCAAAAAGCTTTGATACATTTATCCTTGACAAACAATGAATAAGCAGCTATCTTTACATCAACGCAATCCATACACTTCTACGTACGATTTGCGAGATTCAAATACCCAATTCCATTATCAAGCAAGTTAGAGAGAGAGAAATGTCTCACAACGAAAATGTTTCATACCAAAAGGATATCAAAAACTTAAAACATAACAAAAATGTCTCATACCGATAAGATACCATAAACAAAATTTTAGGATATACGGTCTATACTTCTTACATACACTTAAAAAACGATCCCATTAATTAATAGAAAAAAGACAACAAAACTTAGGGATCTATAAACTCTCTCCAATATATTTCGAAGTGAAAGATTTGGCATTTGGAATGCCGACCTTTGCAGTTGGGATGGTCTTAGTACCATTTTGGTTTACAAGGATGTGCATATTTGTTTGTGACCTTTGACTAAGTCGCTGGTCATATGTTTTTTGGGTTACAACATTTGAGTTGTCCTGAGCCAGGCAAGTATTATGCAATGCACGAGTAATTTGAGAACCACTTTTAATGGGTCTAGGTCCCAAGAGACCCAAAGTAGGTGAGGTGGTCGGGGGAAGCTTTTGCTTGACCCGATTCGTCACTGCAATGGTTGAACCATTCATAGTGATGTGAGTGAGAGTATGTCGAATGGCTTTGGAGCCATTCGAGTTATATGGTCTGACGACTGAGCCGTCAGCATGAAGTGTGTGGGGCATCATACCAATATGAGTAGTGCCTGTGTCGAGTGGAGATGAGGTAACCTTGTGGTTACCCACTGAAGTGGTGGTCTTAGAAGAACCAACCATTGAGGAGAGGGAGTGGTCTTAGAACCACTCTTGAGCTTATGACTAGTGGAGAGTCCACCAGTAGTAGTGTGGGCATGAAGGGCGGCGATTTTAGAACCGCTCATGCAGTTGACACCAATGGACTTGCCATTGACACTGATAGAGAGGAAGCATGGGGTTTGAGGATCCTTTCCCGAGTTGTCCTAGGCTCAAGCCCGGGTGTGAAGGTCGGAAAGACCTCACAAGAGATAAGTGGGAGCAGTCGGTGGTCGAACCTTACTTCCCATGGGTAAGTTCACGAATGTGGGAATTATGAAATCCCCAATTTGGATGAGCGAAGAGTAATTGGACTCCATAGCAGATTTTAAGAAAGAAAGAGTGAGTTGAGATGTCAATCTGAGAGCGGACTGAACATCCTATAGGGTGGTATATCCTCAGTGGACCTGCCAGTTGGTCGGGCCGGGATTTACCTCATTCGAGCTTCTTTGGGAACCCGGGCTCTATGAACCCCCTCTCAGACAACTGATTTACTCACGAGCGCGTGTGTGCCTCACGTGCCACTTGCGGATAGGAATTTCCAACAATAAGAATATTTTAAAAGCAATGAAGAGGTGGACTCGAATACCACGATTGAGTTTGTAGGATATGCCTGGGCTATTGCCCTCTTAGATCAATGACGAAAGCCTTCCAGTCATCCAGCAGCGCAGTTTGAATTCGACCCCCTCTGAAATCAACACCTCACTTAGACTCTCGCAAAGAGATTGCTAATAAAAAGTCCACTGATAATAAACTCCTCTTTGACGTGTTTACAAGTCCATGGTTTTAGTTTTGGAGGTAGAGTGATAGGAGAAAAAAATAAGATCAGGTTGATGAGAACGTGGTGAGATGAAAAAAGTGAAGAGATGAAAAAAAATGGCGGGGGCTACTTGGGCTCTCGATTCCCAAGTTATCGTTCACTTCCCTTGGATAAATTGTCACCGTCCAAAATATTGGACGGTGAGAAAGGCTGCACATTCTCTAGATATTTCTATTGGGCTGCAGCCCTATGAAAATCATTTTCCTTCCCAAGTTATCTTTCACTTCCCTTGGGATAAATTGTCACCATCCAAAATATTTGATGGTGAGGAGGGCTGCACCTTCTCTAGATATTTCCATTGCGCTGTAGCCCTATGAAAATCATTTTCCTTCCTGAAAAGATTTTTAAAAGGAAAATTGTTTCATGCGGGATGGACCGTATAACTACATAGTCCAAAAAATATAAAGCATCTATCTTAAAGATTGATGCAAGTAGGTGTTTCATCTAAAAATAATAGAAACCAACCATCCAAATGTTTTCTTATTAAAATTATTATTTCTAATTTTTTAAATTTATGTATTTTTTTATATTCATGATCTCTATGTTAGAGATTACATGACATTAAAAATCAAGTCCAAAATTCCATCTCAAAAATAGATTTATTAATAGGCCCTTGGCCACATAGAAATCGCGTTCTTTTTAAAAATCTAAGACCTTTTATTTTTAAAAGAAAATGGTTTGATAGGTCTGCATTTGTATCAAAATTAGTGAAGCCTCACTTTATAACTCATCGAAAATTACAATTCAAGCATTAGAAAACCTTTACATCAATCATCTTAGCTTCAACATTATGGTTGTGGGAAAACAATAGGATTTTAAACTCTAAAAAAATGTCTATTGTAACAAATTATGTAGACCGTCCATTTCACCTTAAAAATAATGTTTAAAGATCCACAAGATCTGTACTATTTTTGAGTTTCAAATTTCATTGTTTGTATTGGAAATTGAGTTTAGAGCCATCCTAAAAATTTCCATTGCCCAAAGTGCTTTTTGGAGGAGGATTTGAGGTGAGGCTTTATTTTGTTTTTATAAAGCCTCGGCCTTATAGAAACCTCATTTTTTAAAATAATCTAAAAAATCTATGTCGCAAAAATTCGCTCGTACGTTAGGGAAGTGTAAGGTTCGCTTATGCGCGCGGCTTACCCGCTACTTCAAATACATTTTTATTTTGAAAGGTGAAGGGATTCTTACTTCAAAACCCTAAACCCCATTTTTCAAACCTTCGAGCTTCCTGCATTTACAGGCCTTCTGCATTTTCTTCATGGCTTCTTCTGATTAAGTTATGTTGAAAAGAGTTACTTTATGGATATAAGATGACCAATCTGAGAATTGAGGTGAACCCTTTCGTCGCTCCTCCCATTGAAACAAACCCTAGACGTTGAGCCCACATTTTTACAGTGATATCTCAGCCAGTTACGCAATCTCTTCACGATTTCATCACCCAATCTTTTCAAGATTTCATGGATACCTCTGAAGCAATTGCTCTAGAATGTCGAGTTTCCTTTTCACAAGAGGAAAACCTGAAGAACATTTCCGGTTGGACAGAGGAATCACCAAATTGTTTAAGCGGTGCTTCTGAATCCGAGCTACCTGGAACCCTGAATTCGACAGTGAGCCCCACAAAAATATCGATGATCTCTATATCTGAAAGCTCTGACGGTTTGAGCCCTAAAAGCAAAGAAAATGAGCTTTGGAGAGAAGATATAGGCAATGAGGAATGTTTACAAGAACATCGGAAGGGTAAGTGTGTTAAGTCTTCCGAGTTGTGCTCTGGTTCTCATATTTTGAGGGTGAAATCTACTAAGGATTCACAGTTGAAGCTTGATCCAGGTGTTTCGAAACTTCCGGACAAGGACTGTTCTTGTGAATTTTCTGAAATCGATCCACAGAGTGCTAGTCTTCTTAAAGAGCCTGTAAAAGCTGTAAGGTCGAAGCTCAAGGATGGAGCTTTAGGTTTTCTGGGCTCTAACTCTGTTACGCCAGGGGGGTTTCATAAGGATTTATCTTGTAGAGGAGTTTTTGGTGATCCATTGCTAAAAGGTGTAAGCTTTGACATGAGCTCTGGTGCTACACATCGAGAAATTGCTGGGTCTAGTAAGTCCACGGCTCTTTTTCCTAATAATTCTGTGTTAATGGGTAATCCTAGTGAAATATCCAGGCAATCTTCTCCATTGAAATCTAAAAGCTTAGTCCCAGGGTCTCAGAGAGATTTGTGTGGTAGTGGTTCTGTTAAAGGTGCACCTGTAATAGAACGTGGAGAGTTGCCTCTTTCTAAACTCAATTTGAAGGGTTCGTCAGGCAAAGGTGTTAGCACCAAGAGTTCATCTGTGGGACCTGGTCATGGAGATCGAGGGTTCATTACCCCAAGATCGAAAGATCTCTATTTGGTACATTCCCTACTGAATTTAGGATTATCCAAGTCTAGGTCTCCAGATTTTACTTGTAAAACTGATCAACATGAAAAGGTGAGGAATGCAATGCTAAAGGTTTCAAAATCCATGATTGAAAATCTTGCTAGTAAAAGTGCTATTTTTGAAGATGATAGTGATAAAGGAAGGTTTTCTGATACTGGGTCTAAAGATGGTAATAGTAGTGGTACAAAGGGTGATGAAGGTGTTGAAATAGGATGCAAAAGGAAGTTACCGCCGTGGGTTGCAGAGGTGAGAGAGAAAATGGGTTATGACGAAGGTGAGAAGAGGAGTAAGGGTGACAGGGTTTACCCCAAGACTCTTATTGAAATTCTTGAGAATTGGAGCTCTGAGAAACCTGATACCAGTCTTGGTGATGTTGATATTTTGGAGGTCGCTATGAGAGCCGGCCTTACTTTCCCTGTTCCAGCATGGAGGAAGGCGAAGGAGCCGTAGATGATTGGTGATTGTTTACTATAACTTCTTAGTAATCCTGTGTGTAAATTTTTAATTTGTAGTTCGTTAGGTTGAAAAACGATGTTGAAAAATGTTGTTCACTTGGTAATTTTGAGGGTGACGATAGTTGGCCAGTGTAGATGGACTTAGATAACATAATATCACATATATCTTGAACTTCAAAAATATGAGTTGCATGCCCTTTAGGGATTCTAGATGATTTGATAACTTTTACTGTAAATTTCACTTTCTGATTTTTTTAAAAATTGGGTTTATTTTTTTATTACTATTTTGAGTTTGATGAAAGGCAATAAAAATTTATGTGTTTAGATGCACAATCCCACAATAGATGTTGAAGGCTTTGTGACGGTTGTGAAACAAGGTATACTTCACCTTTTAGAATTTTGGATCAGAATTCACAATTGATAGTCCAAATGGTGCATATCAATTGCCGGCTTATATTTTCAAATTTTCAGATGCTGAAGTTTAAAAGCCAAACTAATCTAATTCCTAATTTCCAATTGCTATAAAATCCAGCGGGCTGATATTTCAATTGTTGATCACATGTCCCTGACAATGATATCTTTTTTCTCCAAATATAGAGTAAAATATTGCCATGCCTCTTTTAAGCTGGAAGCCTGGAAAAGATGCGTATGGCATTTAACTTATGTCGAATGATTAACCATGCTGCTAATATGGAACCTCACCAATCAAATATGCAACCTCACCAGTCAATCGGTCATGGATCTATGCGCTACAATGTTTCTTGTGCTTAATAACCAGCCCTAAACATGAACTCCTATTTTATTTATAGTGGTCGCCTTGAATCTTGACCTTAACATGTGAGAATGATCCAACAATTCCATTCAACTTTCACATTCAGGGGTTTATGCCTGTGATTTTTTTGGAACCTACAGAATTATCTCCTGGTCCAATTATTCACTGTAGAATTAGATGTGTTAGCATTTGTAGAATAGTATGTGTAATGTGTTGATGAATTAATGTGTTAATTGTAATCTACGTTGGTTTGATTGAGTTTGTGATATTATTAATTAAAAAGGGTAGGTTCTCATGAGGGCCATCACTGTCCAATCAATGAGTTGGATGGTGATGGCGAGTGTGAGACTCTACAGAACATGGAATGGCATGGATGATGGGTTTTGCTCTCTCTACATCACCTTCCAACCTATTGATTGGATGGTGATGAGCCTCATGGCTGCATATTCCATGTGGTAATGTGGACTACAGCATATAGATCTTGTTTTGATTGTGAATTCTTAAACAGTAGGAAATATATCTACCCTAGGTTTTGAATGGCCCAACGGTTTTAGTTTATTTATATTTATTTTGTTAAGGGAAATTTGTCAAAATACATCTAAGATTACATTGTGCCCATATGTTTTGATTTAATTTCAAAATGCCCATCAAAATACGCATGGTTTGGAAAGGGAATAGTAGAAAAAAGGGTAAAACATTAAATTGTTGAAAAGTGAGGTGTATTTTGATAAAGTTCATTTGTATGAATGCAGCATACCAGAAAGTTGGGGATCTTTTTTGCTTAGAAGCGCTGAACTCGCCATTATGAAGGCCTTGGAGCACTGTTTTTTTGCTGTGGCATGATAACTTACCCTTAAGAAAGGTTTGGGCTTCTTTCTTCAGAAATCTTTTTGACTTTTGGACATGTAAGATTATGTTGGGGACATCCACTGAGAGAAGGAAACCACATGGCAACCAGTTATTCTCTCAGCACTAACTTTCTCACCATAGATCTTCTGTTTTTCTTTTGGAGATGACCTCTCTTTAACTCTTATATTCTATTCGTTGTTTTGCTCTATCCTCTGTACCATGCGTATCGTAATGACATCATACTGATTTCCAAGAAGAAATGTATTGCACACAGATTACTTGTTTTAGCTCCTAGATTCATTTTAAATTTATAAATCCAAGTTAAACACTTTTCATTGGGATTCATCACAATTTAGGAGGCTATTTAACAAGGGAATGTCAACTGGTGTATTAGACACCAATTATTCAAGTCTTTTCTTACTGTTTTATGACATGTTATATCTCTTAGCATTTAGTTTTCAGTCCACTCGTAAGCATTTTTTAGGTTGTAGTGTCTTTTTTCTTTTCAGCATTAACTAAGGACTCTGGTATTTTAAATATGTTAAGCACATGGATGCTTTGAGTGCCTATCAACCGCTTGACTGGAACCTTTGCAAAGGAAGAACATAGCCATCAACTGATCAAAGCATATGCTTTAGAGGGTTCCTTAATTTTGCTAGTACATGCTTGCTTGACCTGGGCTTCGAACTTTCTATTGTTCCAACTTGGCTCTTTGCTCCCACTTGCTCATTCAAATTACTCTGCCAACATGATAATCATTCTTACTTGGCATAGAATAAAAAAATATGAACAGTTTGTAAAATCCGATGAATTATTATTTTTGATATATTATCTTCGAAATTGTTCTTCTTATGTCAAAATTAAAATAATACAAATGATTTAATATCTTATCAGTTACAAGCGCTTGGCACGGGTAAAGAAACAATATTTTGAGATGATGCAAATTTCGAAACTTCCATTGGGTTACCAACATTAAAGGAAAAATCGAGCGATCTCACCGGTAATTGCCCGGTCAGATCGGAACTGGCCAATGGCCGGTTCTGGATGCCGGCCAATCGAAACCGGCCACTGGCTGGTTCTGGTTTCGGCTGGTTTTGGTGACCGACCCGGTATTTTTTAAAAAATTATATAATCCAAAAAATAAGGAATTTTGCTTGTAATACATTTTTTAAAAATGTTTTTCATCATTATGGCAAATATTGGAAATTGTTTTGGCGATTTATACTTATTTTTACATTTTCCCATCTTTAATTCTTTAAAATATATATTTTTTCATTAATTTCAACTTCATTTGAGTGTGCTTTGTTTAATAATTCTTTAAATATATTTTTCATATTTTATTAGGGTTTTTTTTATTTTATTTTTTTTGTATTCATTTTAACATGTTTTTGACTGTTCGGTTAGAACGGTTGAACCAATTGATCTATTGGTTAGGCCGATTGAACTTCTTTTGGGGCCATGTCTGGTTAACTGTTTCGATTCGATTTTTTTTATACTGATTACTCGCTTCATTTAAAACAAGTGTATTAAATTTAGCCATATTGCGCTCTAAATACCGTGTGTGCCTACGAGAGAGAGAGAGAGAGAGAGAGAGAGAGAGAGAGAGAGAGAGAGAGAGAGAGAGAGAGAGAGAGGAGTGTGTGTGTATCTTCGTCTAGTACGTTACGTACGTAGTACGTACTACTACTACTACGTACGTACGTCGTACGTTACGGTTACGTTAGG